AGTAAATCGTAATAAGAGTTCATGGTAAGGCCCCAGAACTCCCAGACCAGAACCAATTTAGAAAAGTTTATTTCCTGCCGGGAACCTACTCATTCAGTGCAAACAGCTGGGCCACCAAGATTGTCCGTCAGATGTTGAGCCCGGAAATTAGGTTTTTGGGTCCAACTTCACTGAACTCCCAATTTACAAGCAGATTTAGAAATAATAACCAGTTGGTGGCATCTATTAGATAGACAGATAACCACTTTATTCGCTGATGTAACAACAATACAAATTAAGCATAAAATTAAAAGAACATGATTGTCATAGCAGTGAAAGGAAGCTGACTCAGCATATGCCTAAAGTTTCCTATGGCGCTGGTTTTCAGTCATGAGGATTAGGTAATCAGAAAAAAAGAGATTAAGTAATTTGAATGCAAAAATATAATGGACGGAGCAGCAAGACTAGCTAACTTAATCGTTGTAGTTACAGGAAAACGGTTCTAGAAGACTATCCATGAATTTTGAAGATATTTTGATTGGCATTCACAGATTTTGAAAAAATGGTACAGTCAGCACGATAAAAGGCAATTTTTACAAAACATTTTTTTATGCCACTCGATCAGGTCTCTGGTAAGGATCAATAGTCTCTATGGGACCAACTGAGGTAAGAGTTCTCGAAATGTCAGAAATCGGAAAAAATCTTTTACCACACTTTCTTTTCGTTTTCGTTTCTCTAGTATGGGGGCTGTGAGTGTGTGCATTATATTACTTATTAAATCTATTACCTATATTTGACCATGTCTTCCTCAGTCAATACTACAGCTGTAAACTTCTTCATAACATCTTCTTCAATATCAACTCCTTTGTCTAGTTTCATACTTTTTTTCTTTCTTTTCACTGTTTTTCTTACTTTTACATTTAATACTGAGTCTTTCGCCTTTGTGTCTAATATTTCTGCATATATTCCTGCAGAAAAAATATATTATAATTGTAAATTTATTATATTTTACCTTAAAAATAATGAAATACATGTTTTAACTGATAAACCTTGTTTGGTCCACTTAAGGATAGCGTCTATAGAAATCCTACCTAGTGTTACAATGGTAAGCCACGAGCAAAGCTAATCTCAGGCCATCTTCGCAAGTACTTATCATCACAGTCATTGACATTGTATTATTATTATTTTATTTATTTAGGACAACCAAGTCATACACTTCATACAATTTTGGTTTTATAATTCAAATGGAGTACCTAATGCTAAAGTGTTGACTCAATGAAAGGTTGCCACCACATGCAACAATCAAACACAGTTAATTATTTATATACATAATATATACAGTTATTCACACTTTTTAACATGTAGTACAATATATATTTTAAATACTAAATATAGAAAGATATGATAAACATTACAAATAGGAAGAAAGTAAGATGTTAATAAACATAAATAAAAATTACTTGTGGAACTATAATTATACTGCATTACAAATAAAGCATGAAGTTGCCACAGTTCAGCTCACATAAACGAAAGTTCCGTACAACTGCCTGATAACAGGTTAGTGATGCACCAAATATATCCGCAAACTCAATGCAGATGTTGTACAGTCTGCATAGTCTAGATAACGGGAAGTTAAGCCCCAATTCGGTACTATGTCTAGCTGGGTGGAGGAGCTTGATATCGTGAGTATCTTGAGGATACCTTGTGACGGTGTGACTTCCTGACACCGTCATCTCATCTTTTTGTATCGCCTCTCTCCGTTTGTATCTTATCATTTTTTATTTTACTTGTATTTAAATTTTAAATTTGAATTGTTCCATCTTCCTTCACTTTCTCATTTTGTTTTCGTATCATTGTCACTTTCTGCTCGACCGCCACAACAGTCGGAGCTGTTTCAAATACCATCGCGTATAATCGCTAATTTTGGTTCTTTACTACGTTTATAATCATTAAATAAGCTAAATCATGTGTAATAATTCATAAGTCTACAAGCCTTCACGTACCTATATCTGTAATTCAGTTACTCGGCCCATTTAGGGCCCTTTTAACTTTACTTCTTTAATAAATTTTGTGGACCGGAAGTTTCCCGTTTCATTGCCGTGAACCTGTACACGGCTAGTTGGGGAGGGTTACAACCCTTTCAACCTTAAGTGAAATCATCCTCAATAATTGGGGACAATTAATTTTAGCTCTTATCAATTTGTATAGGAAGATAAGAACGCCCCATTGTCAGGTCATTTGATCATATTATGAAAACATTGCCCTTCATGGAATTACACAGTATATCTGGTTTTATCATAAAACTATTTTGGCACAATATAGGCACCTTGTCTGATAAAACTTTTGGTTTACGAGGCAGTGATGTACCAGCTGGAGGCTATATGAAAATCTATTCCGTCAGACCACAAATAATAGAATAGATTAGTTGTGGCACTGTGGTTGTAATACAGGACAAAAATTAATAAGGATATCTAATTAATACAAATAATTGACGTTATTTCGGACAAATATCCATATTGTGTTAGTCAAGGAATTTAAACTATATTGTGTTATAATTATTAATACTATAATAATAATAATTATAACAAACTAGTGGAGTAATTTCACAAAAAATAACTGAATATCAATTTAATAAAAAATTAACATATTGTGTTAGTCAAGTGATTTAAACTATATTACTAAAACTCACAAAGAGTAAACTACATTTCGAACTATCTAAGGATAGGTCTAACACACTTGAAATGTAATATAGTATAATAATATAATAACGCGCACACACACATAGACAACCACAAATTACACTCAAACTCACGAGAGAAGTAAATGGCCATACAAATATTTCTCTCGGCCCGCGAATCGAAATAACAATACAAACCTTGTACATTTTCAACAGGCTTCGCATCTATAAAAACATTATCTTCACAATCATCGTCACTGTACTTCACATCTTCTGTTTCCACTTTTACTTCCATTTCCTTCTTTTCATTGTATAACGGATCTTGGGAATATGTATATTCTTGCAAACTTGTTATTGTCACATATGAGAGATTGCTAAGGCATTTTAGATCTATACTCTGGAATAAAGAATTAAACAAATAGTTTTCTAAATTGTTTCAGGTCAGGATGTTCTGGAAAGCGGATTAAAACCCAATCAACTGCCTTGGTTTTAAGCTAGTTTTTACCCAAAGCGCCGGTTTTAACCCATTTCTGCCCAAAATGTTGATGATGAGTTTGGTATAATTGCATATTTATTAAAAATATCTATATACTAAATATTTTTTAGATGAAAAAGAGGCAACTCCACACAATGCCCACTGTGCAATCCTGTGTGGAGTCTCACTTACTACCAGTGATGCACATTAGGAGTGTGTCGATCGTGATCGATCCAATCAAAGTGATTCGAACTGCACCTGTGACCCAATAACCCGGGTACTAGCTTCTAAATAACCCGATCGCAATATTCGACTTCATCATTATAATGTTACAAATTATTCAACAATTCATGAACAATTCACAATATTATTATTGTCTCGTTCACTCTCACATGAAGTCTCCACTCATGACACGGTTCGCCTTCTTGTTGTATACACATATATATTTCTCTTTAATATGTTATACTATATTAAAGAGAAAGATAAAAATCTAATTTTTTTTTTAAGTTTGTCATTCATTAATAAAAAAAATACCTCAGTTACTAATATAATATGAAAGCATAATTAATAATTTTTTTTCGGTGGGTTGGATAGGAGTGGGAGTTCACTGCACTAGCGCTCCTTAGGACGAGCCGCCTCTGGTTTCGACCCATAATCTGTTTTTCGGTATGTTGTGTTTATTTAAGAGTATACTAGCTATTATTAAAATATTAAATGAATAAAAAATTAGTAATTTTGAACGCTAATAAGTTTTTTGTTATGTATTTTTGTTTTGTAAGACGGTTAGTTTTCTTAGAAGGAAATTTTAGTGTTAAGTAAAAGCTAAGTGTGGTTTATCAATGACGCATAGACACATTACCCATCAGCAGGAAAGAATAAAAGCTAATTGTATAATGTGACACTTTTAAACGCCATATGGAAGTATCATGAGGGACGGGTGACCCGCTAAAATATCAAACATATGATCGAATCATTTGACCTGATCACAGTACGCATGGGTCATGATCGACCCGGGTTATCAAAAATGATCGACCGACACGTCTGAATTGCACATTACGATTCAGTGTTACGATTAAGATTAAGTGTACAGGTTAACGAGTTTTTGTATAGATTAATTCAATGCGATTTTCAAGCGAATTAATTCAAAAGAAAGTTGAAATACATATACAGGGTGTCCCAAGGCTTATGCCACATGGAGGGAAAGCACCTTAAATACCATTGATAGAACATTTTACTAAAAGAAGACTTCATTTTGATTTAAAAAACAATTCGAACTGCATTCAAAGATTTTTAAATAATCGCTTGTCTGAACCGGGAATCGAACCCGCAAAATGTGAAAAAGAAAAACCACCTGTAATTTTGTTATACTGATAATACATAAGACATAAGAATTGTTTTCTTCTAAATAACATAACATCTTAAACAAAAGGAAGACCATGAAATTGAAATTTAATTAAAATAAATAGGTACACTTAATTGCAACTTACAATCAATCAATTTAAGTTATAAAATGTTCAAAATGTCTCCCATTGTGTAGTATACAAATTCTCACTCTTTTCATAATTTCGCTTCCTGTTGATTTATTTATCTTTTCATGGTGAATGTTTAAAATAATACGTCTAAGTTCAGTTTGTAAGTCCTGCACACTCTCATACCGGTTCCTGTAAACTAAATCTTTTACATATCCCCATAAAAAAAAATCTAACGGGGTTAGATCCGGGGATCTCGGAGGCCATTTAATTTGTTCATGAGTACCGATCCAGGAAGGAAAATGTTCATTAAGAAAGTCCGCTGTTCTCCGACTATTATGAGCCGGAGCCCCATCTTGCTGAAGAATGAGACTTCGTCGTTCTGCATCGGGAAGATTATTAATCTCGCTCCTTAAAATCTCAAGTGTTTCTAAATATTTTTCAGTGTTCAGATGCCCTTCGTAAAAATGTGTTAAGAGAACCCGGTTTTTCACAATCCCACACCAACAGTTGAATGAAAAACGCACTTAATCATTAGTCTCGCGGATTCGTAAGGGATTCTGTCTGGACCAAATACGATTATTACGCCGGTTGTACATACCATTGTTACTGAAGTTTGACTTGTCTGACCAAATAATGTTAGTCAGGAAATTTTGATTCTGACAAATGAGCCTCTCGATTTGGTGGCAGAAAATAAGTCGTCTTTCGGCATCACCCGGGCGTAATTTTTGAAGTAATCGCCCTTCAACATAACTTGATTTCTTGAATTTGTATTTTTTCAATATGCGGCGTATATTGCTTTTTGAAATTCCAATTTCTTCTTCACCTTCACTGAATTCTTCGGGTTCGCCTTAAAGTAAATCAAAATGTCGAATTCATCATTGTTAACGTTTATCATTTGGTGCTGTGGCTGCGGTACGCGACGATGAAATCGTCCTAATTTTTTCAAATTATCCATCAACCTCTTCAAAATAAATCGAGATGGTGTTTCTCTATCGGGATGCTGTTCGCGGTACCACTGCAAAGCTAGTGATATGTTTTTGTGGTTCATATAGTATGCTTCCATTAAATCCAAATTATGTTGATACGCCATGGTAAGTAAATTCACACAACAATTGCAATGCAAGAAATCGAAAAAGAAATTCACTAAAAAAAAACAAAAGAATAATATTAGACGTTTGAAAATGGAACACATTTTCAAATTATTATTTTATAATCAGCCAGCCGCTTTGTGATTGTGAACTTCTTTGTGAATTTCCTTATTATTTTATCATGCACTTATAATAGGGACATGATATGTATTTCTCAAGTTTGTACTATTAGTAATACTTTGAAATGATAATGAATGTTGTTATGAGCGCAGCATAGTCAGAGAAAAAGTTGTCCATTTTCCTGAACAAAATTTCAAATTAAAGTGAAATTTCGTAGTCTTCCTTTTATTTACGATGTTATGTTATTTATAAGAAAACAATCCTTATGATTAAGTCTTTCGATCAGTATAATAAAATTACAGGTGGTTTTTTTTTCACATTTTGCGGGGCGATTCCCGGTTCAGAGAAGCGATTATTTAAAAATCTTTGAATGCAGTTCGAATTGTTTTTAAAATCAAAATGAAGTCTTCTTTCAGTAAAATGTTCTATCAATGGTATTTAAGTTATTTTCCCTCCATGTGGCATAGCCGTGGGACACCTGTATAAGCAAGGAATGAACATAAGTAATATTATTACGTTTGAATAAAATTCGATTTACGAATATTTAGTTTTAAATAGTTTTTGCCTTCGCTTTTGGTGCTAATGGGTATTAATACGATAAAAATCAGGCGTTAACAAAGCGCCGGGTTAAAACCCGGGCGCTTGCTCATTTTTGGTCCTGGAGGTAAATCCATTGTTCTGGTACTCGCCATAGATTTTCGAAGTACAGAAAATTTCCAAGAATTTCTTTATTTATCTTTTAAAATGTGTATTATCACACACGCACACGCACACGCACACACGCATATACGCATAGCCCCGCACTAGGGAAACCCTATATTGCAGGTGTGTGCTATACACTTTTGCTATAGCCATAATGATGGACAGTTATATTGTTACAACACATGTTACACGTTATGGTGTGTTTAGCCTGGAGCGTAAGAGATAGTAAAAGAGGAAATAGGAAGCTGTAACAAATAATAAAATGATAATAAAAAGGTACAATTATTATAAAACACTCCCTATAAAACTAAATAACACAATACACACCACAAGGGCCAATATCACTATACCACTTTAATAGCATGATTTAAGAATATGAAGTTAAACAAGAAAGAAATTGCAGGTGATTTGAGCAGGGGCATGTCTTCTCGTTTCAAGAATTATGATGAGAGTGACGACGAATGAAACAAACATAAGAATAGTCAAAGAAAAGGAAATTCGAGAATGAGTCAAAATTGAAAAAATTAGAGGCCAGGAACCAAAGAGTATGGTAAAAAAGTGGGAGAATGATGGAGGTCAGCATTGGCATAGTTGCATTGAGTATATAACCAGAAATAGAGACAAAATGTCATTTAATTTGTTTGAAAACTATCCTGCCAAATCATTACAGTGCTCCGATTGGCCAGCCAGCATTCTAAGCAATTGATGGGTGTCGTCAATTGTTTCACTTCAAATTGACCAGTTTAACTTGAGCTTTGCTATAATGGCCGAAAATTGAAAAATTACATATTTAATATTAAATTACTAATGAAATGTGATTCTGTTTGTTTTGTAATCACACCACCGAATAGAACAGACCCCCATAGGTAGACATCTTTATTACAATAAATGCAGAATATTTTTGGAATATACGGAGACTTATACACAGGTCAGTTGTTGGTGTCGTGGTGAATGTTCACCGATCCCACGGCGCCGACTAAACTGGCGAGAGGTAATCCTGGGGGGCAGGCCACCCAGTCAGGGGTAAGAGTACCCCACATAGCCCCGGAGTCTCCCTGGATTTCCCCCCGTCAAAAAAAGGTCAGTTGGCGCTGTAGTATTTCAGCGTTCGACCTTGTGATTTCAGTGCAAACGAGAGTTGATATTTGAAAAGTGATATAAGGCCCATTTACCTGATGAGTTGCAAGGGATGGATGGAATTTATTTCGTCTCTATTTCTGGTTAAATACTCGATGCACAGTTGTGTTGTTAGGAGTAACAACCCATAATTATTTTATATATAAATTATATTGTTGTTTTACCTCAGTATCAATCATAGTCAGTGCTTTCTGTGCAGTTTGAACTTGAGCTTTGAATCTTGTAAACTTTACAAGTATCTTTCTGCATTCCCAGCAAATACCGCCTTGTGAAGATTTCATCTGATATCCAAACAGTAAATTTAATATTTTTGAGTTAAACATACGTACTGGTATTTGGTGTAACGGGCTGATGTCCGCAACTCGACGTCAAGGCGCCTATTTTAAACATACGTATTGTATTTTGTTACAGGCACTGTGTGTATTACAAAAAAATTCAAAAATAGATTTTCTAACCTCTCCTAAAGAAATTTCTTGAAAAATCGTATACATTTTAGCTACGGGATACAGATTGCGCTCACTACATAAGCAAGCTTGGCAATATCTTAATTTGGCTTCCATTCTTTAAGCTTTCTTCTATGTTTTACAACAAATAATAAATAGTAACTATTTTTGCAACAAGTATTTCGTCAAAAAACAAAACAAACTAAAAAAACATTCCGATTTCGACTAAATAAATAGTGATGTTTCCAGATTTTACACCGATTGACGAGGGAAAAACGATTGATAACGGTAAAAATAACGACTTATAGAGGTGGTGTAGTAAAATTCAGTATACAGATCACTTCGGATTACATTACATTTTTAGTTTTTAAATGGATTCTGCTATAAATCTCACAATTTTTAATTAAAAATCTTTTAAATGTATTAATTATTGATTGTAAATTAAGACGATATCATTTGACTTTAAAAAAAGGAGCAACAGTGAATCTAGACCCATTCCCGCCAAAACAATATTTTTCAAATTTTTGTTGATTATGCTGTACTTTGAAGCGTAGTGATTGATCGGTTTTCTTATCGGTAAATTTTGCTTAAAAATATTATTGTAATTATCGACATTTTAGGTAAAACGGAAATATATAATGATTTTTTACTCAGATTTTTCCTTGCAATTCTGACAAAACATTATTCACGTATTTTATTTTTTTATAATAATTGTATCCACAAAAACCGTAACCGAATATTGTTTAGTACTGAATCGGAAAAGTTATGAACCGTTATTTACTGTCAAATAATTATTTTACAATTTTAACTTCTAACGTCAGTCATATATAACACTATTTGTGTTTCCGCCATAAACTGGCAATATGTTATTATAATACTGTTTGATAAGTGAAATAAAAGAAAATGGAAGTTGAGCATCAAGGAATCGACTTTTGCCAAGGATGTCTTGGGTCCGCATCTGAAAGAACTTTACATCCCATACAGTCATACAGACCTATAATGGCAAAATTAGGAATAAAGGTGAATATATATATTTATACACGCAAAATAGGCGCCTAGACGTCGAGTTGCGGACACCAGCCCGTTACACCAAGTACCAAGTATATATATTTTATATTAAAATGGATATTATTGCGGTACACATGTCGTCATCATCTAGATGCTTCAGTCACATCACACATGCTTCAGTCAGTACTATATTATCTCTACAATATTACCTACACCTTTATTTTTTTTATTTGTTGTTTAATGCCTATGTCACATCCATTATCTTGAACACGGCTGAATTTGTATATCCAAACACTTCTTCCACCAATTCTACTTATAATATACAAAGAATTTAAATAAAATAAATATGTTTATGAGGATGAGTAAGAATAAGTTACTTTGACTAAATAAAGAAACATTGGGGTTCCAGAGGTTAATGCGGACAAAGAAAACACTTTGTAGAGTATCGGAAGGTGCTTACGGCACTGACGCACTGAGAGATGAGTCAAATGTCAGAAATCTGAGCTGCAAGAACATTCTCCCTTTAACCCTTCTCTTCTCTGGATCGTTTCTAAATATATTGATCAAAACAACAATATATTGATACATACATCTTTAATATTTGCTATGTAATATTTGCTATTTGCCATGTTTTTGTGGTTTTCATATAAATTGCTTTTTCAAATTATCATATGTCTTGTCCTTGTTTCTTGGATGGTGCAACTGACCAATGTTGGTTGTGTGCTTTCCTGGTACAATTTGTCACATACCGTGTATTGTCCAACCTGTACACAGACAGAATCGTCCTCAGTGGGACAGAAGCCAAAACCTACAAAAATTTAATTGAAAGATGTATATGAGGATGAGTAAGAATGAGTTACTTTGACTAACTAAAAAAAAAAATGGGGTTCCGGAGTCTAGAGGTCAAAGAAAAGGCTTTGTGGAGAGTTGGAGGGTGTTTACTACACTGACAAAACAATAGCCCTTAAATCTGTAATGTACATTATGGAATGCAAATAAATAAATTAAGAATAAAGAATAAGGAATAAAGAATCTAAGAGAGATGCGTCAAATGTCAGAAATCTGAGCCGCAAGCACTTAAATGTTGACCCCAATGTCTATGGTTTACTTAATAATAAGTATTAACAATGTGTCAGACAACCTCACCAATTATCTGGTTTCAAAGAGCAACAAAATTCCCTCCATGGCACTACCTAGAACTGTTAATTTCTCGAATTATTCTTACTAGGAAATGACCCTGTGACGTCTTATCCAGCCCCTAAAGTGCAAAAGCATTGCTGAGGTTGTCGAAACTTAAAATAGTTAAAGGTATAAAGAATGGTATTGTTTTGTATGTATATGTAATTGCTATCAATTTTATTAAGTTAAAGTTGCTTGTTGTTATTCAAGCTTAAAAGAATGATATTACTAAATTAAGATTAATAATTTAACCAACAGCGTATTTCACAATGCCAACATCCCTCAATATATACAATACAATATATGTTTCAGAGTAATTTCTGGCAACTTTTCATCATTATTTGCAATTGCCCCGTTACTTGATAAAATTACATGACAACTTCAATTCTTGAGTATTGTTTTCTAATATCTGACATATGATTAGTCTAATATCAAAAACAAGCAGCCTTGGCTCAGTATCCCTAAGACATCTAGCCTCTGACAGTAGAAGTGATAAAAAAGTAATTCCATTCAGTCATGCGCTACTGCCTTCAAATCAAATATCCAAAGTCTTCAGAGAACATACTTGAAACTATCGGTTGTGCCACATAAGTCAGAGCCAAGAAAGTACTTCAGTTCTTCAATGTCGGCCTTGGATCTGCACTGTAATTAGTGGTGGTCACAATAGATCAGTCAATGATTGCAGTAATGAGTTGATGCATAGGCCCTGATTGAAGCCTAATAATAATAATAAAGTTAAAACATCCACAATTTATACAGAGAGACCTTTCTTTGGGATCAGATACAATTTGGCACTGCAGCTTCATGTCACAGACAAACTTTCCACAATATGCTACCAGATCTTACATCCTACAGTATTTTGGTCATATTGCTTGCCGACAACCAGACAACCTTGACAAACTAGTTGTGATGGGTAAGGTGGAGGGAAAGAGACTCCGTGGTCGATCACCTAACCGATGGAGTGACCAAGTGACCGCCCTCACTGGCCTCCCTATAACAACTGCCCTGCGAGAGGCCGAAGACAGAACCAGATGGAAGACAATCGTCCATAGACTCTCGAAAATTTTTTGGGGACGCGACTAAGAAGACAACTTGACAAAGGTCATCCTCCGAAACCAAAGGACACATGCTACTTGAGACTTTGTACTTCAAGCCAATGGCAATTAACATTAAAAAGTTCTGATGAAAACCTTTAATGGTAAACTCTGTAGAGAAGCACTAGCACTGGGCAGGAATGATCTTTGAATGATGATCCGGTCTCACTGGCTAGTGAAAATGCAATATACACCTTCTGCCATAAAAATTAGCATATTATGCCCAAAGGGATAGAATTTATTAAATGGCTATATGCATAATTAATCACGAACTTTATATAAGTCTAAATTACTATGAAAATTTGGATAAATAAAGTTCTTTATTATTATATTGAGATATTTACAGATATTTTGTTTACAGATGAAATTCTCCAATGGTATTTGCGAGAAATGTGCAGCGATAATCACAAATTTCGACAAATTCCTTCAAAAAGTCCAAGAAATACAGGTTGTATTGGATGTATGCACACGCAGGAAGGTAAATATATTTTTTGTTAACTGTTATAAAAGCGTGATACGCTAATTTCTCTACATCTATCCATGTTTACCATTAAGGAATGATGGGTACTACAACATATCAATGTCGACCATCGATTGTCTATAACTGTTGCAGTGCCATTAAGAGCTTTAAAATACAAAGATCATGAGGGATACTGCCATTGCGCCCGTCACCCTTATACATAAGTTGACAAGTCCTATGTGCCTGTAATGCCAAAAAAAAAATGCACTAGCACTCTTAAAAGCCAAAACTGCTTGGCAGCCAAATAGGTAAGGTGGCAGTACTTCCCTGGACGAACTATTTCAAATGGAGCTCTACTGCTACTACAGCAGCTATCTCAGTGGTGGAAGATACAAAAAACCGCTTAGGGCCTAAACCTAAAGATAGGGGATAGGTGGAATTGCTTGCTAGGTTCACCGAACTTCATGTCCTGGGAACTCGGTGAACTTAGCAAGTATCATGTAATCATTTCTTTCACATAATCAATTCAATTAATTTCTTATTTCTATTCTGTAACTTTTGTACTGACAGTAGAATTGATAGCTTGTAAGTGCACTAACAAAATGGACTGTATATTGTTTGCAATAAATGATTTATAGTTTTACTTTTTATTTATTTAAGCTGAAACCAGAAATGTCGATTATGTTAGTCATGATAAGTAGCAGATTATTAATATAAGCAACGTATACGACCCCTTACCCTCGCAAAAGAAATCAAAAGAACCATTATATGTATACTCTCGGACACATAACTCGAGCCACCTTGCATTGTCAATATTACATATCCTTGTCTTAAAGAATGCCTGATTGATCAAGAACTATTATGCAATTTTGGAACTGGTATACTAAACGTCATTTCCTGAAGTCCTTATTGAAAATTTGGATTTAAAAAACTGGAGAAAACTTTTTCTTCACTGATAACTATAGTTTAATATTCTAGCCCTTTAAGGATAAAAATGCAAGGTGGCTCGAATTATGTGTCCGGAAGTGTATGTCGCACTGTTAATACAACAGTGTATTAACTCAAAAAGAGTATATTTTCAGATTGGTTGAAAAGCGAATCAGGTACTCACTTTCCGTGAAAGATTAAAATTATAATTTATGTATAGGTTAAAGTTTATTACAGACATCTAAACAGTTCCTATTTTTGTCAAATATATTTTAAATAAAGAAGAAAATATAATGTCACATTTTTTAATACGGACTGTTTTGTCTAGAACTAGCTTACAAAAAGTTTGTCTCATTTTGAGTTAAGCAGATATCTTTTTATTGTTTCTCACAATATTCTAATGACTGTTGTATTGACGTGTAGAAAATAAAATTTTACGGTCAGCAATAGAAATAGTCTTGAATTTGACATATTTTGAGTTACAACACTATTTCAATAGCAGTGCAATATCGTCGGGCGTTTGTAGAACACACCCTGTACCTAAGCGCCATTTAGAATTTTTTTTCAGTTGAGCATGTTTTACGTTTTAACGACTGTTTTAAAGTTATTACGTCCTGTTTTAAAATATTGAATTTAAAACAGGATGTAAATATTTTAAAACAGTTGTGAAATACTAAAACTTGCACTACTGCCACATTTTTAAAATGGCGCTTTCAGCTTTTCTACGAAACTTTTAATTAATTTAATTTTAATTTTGATTTGCATTAGCGCGTTATACATTTCAATAAGCCTGAATAATTAAAATACTTTTGTTTGCAGTTACGCATAACAAAATGCATGACCTGGAGCCCGCAGGCCATTCAAAATATGACTGACGCCTCAAAAGATTCAGGAAATGGTAATACTCAGTGCACTATACGCAGTGCAATTGATCTATTAATAATAATTTTAACTTTTTTTTTATAAAAAAGAAACCGTCCTCAAAAGTTTGTGGAATTACTGCATCTCAATGCCAAGTTTTATTGAAAATGATCAACGGAAAGTGGGTGCAATCCGATAAATTGGTTTCCTTTTCTAATTTGCTACCTTTAGACACCTCTATTCTACCGAATATTTTCTTCAAATTAGAATGGAACCACTGAGGTACCTTCTTTCCAACAAAAATTTCGGAGAAATCGCGTAACATACACACACACGCACACGAACACGCAAACGCAAACGCAAATGCAGACACACGTACACACACGCAACAAAAATAGTCGAATTGAGAACCTCCTCCTTTTTTAAGTCGGTCATAAAAACATACTGTAAAGTTGGTGTTTTTAAGTGTAAATTACACCTGTATCTAAACCTGTGAAATGATTGCTACAAACGCTGGATGTGCTGAGTATATGATTATAGATTCCGTGAAACTCCGATCCCTAAAGATGTTATTTTTAAATCATGGTCTACTTACAAATAATAATGATATATGTTCTTTTGAATGGAATGTTTGCTTGTGTTTAACTTTCGGTTATAAAGACGCATCCATCTTATCTCAATACCCCGTTAGAAGCTCCGAAAAGTAAGACAGAAGCAATACAAAAAGTCTAATGTTGGTGTCAACTATATACCTTTGAAAATGTCCCTTCATACTTTATGTATCAGTACTAATATCGCTAACAAGAAGACTTATACATATTATTTTACAGGAACGAATACCAATATTGAACACATTGATGGAAATATGGCGATGCCCGTAATAACTAATGCATCTTTGAAAGAATCTGCTATAAAAGATACGAATATTAATAAGACGTCGACTTTTACCAAAACATTTGTTCCTTGTCCAAAACGTTGCCAAGTAAACAATCCTGGGTGTGAAGGAAACGACCTATTAGGAAACTTCAATAATATCACTGATCAAGACAATGATTTGATCAGCCAAGGTAATAATTTTGAAAAGGATATTTTGTGTGATCAACCAGAATCAGCCCCATTAGCCGTAGCAAACAGTGCTACAACAGAAGTTAATCTGAATGCTCCAGACCCATTAGCAATGCCAAACTGTGATTTACCAAAAGTTAACGTGACTGAGTTTACGCATATATTATGTACAAAGACACTAACAAAAGAACAAAGTGTACAAGATGACTGTACTTTGAAACCAATAAATTCATTACAACCTTCAAAATCCTTTAAAAATGAAGTACAAAGACAAGATGAAGAAGACAATCATATAAAGTTAAGAAAGTTGACAACTGAAGATATAAAACAAATGCAAGACTATAGTGAGAAGGATTTAAAGCAGAAAACATTAAATAGGATTAAGATTAACAAATTATACAGAGAAATTCTTTCTGGTACAAGTAACGCATCTACCGATAATATTATTACTGAAGAAAATAAAGTGACTGACGATGTAAAACACTCGATTGAACGTGTTAACGAAAAAATAATACAGTTGGAGTCAGCGTTACCTAACCCTGGTACTGATACTAATATAGCAGTACTTAATGATACATCTACTGAACTGCTTAAAACAGACTTCGAACCGCTATATCAACGTCATAAAAGATTAAAACCGAGAAATAATCTGAAAGGCGCAATTCGTCGTGTTAAAGTAGTGGTAAAAAAACCAGAGCAGTTAAATAAACCACGAGTCGAAAAACGAATTGTTAAACTGTGTAACCCAGTAGCTCCAATGGAATCATGCTCAGATTCGTCACAAATTAAACCGTCAAATACAGAAATCGTAAGATTAAATGACAATTCAAGCCCTTTAACAGAAACATTCACAAAGAAGGTACCTGTTGAATTAGATAATAACAGCCTACCGCACAAAGCACTCATAGGGAATATAAAAATGTCTGACCATGATCAGGATGTCATCGATATTCAACCTGGTCCACAAATTAAAAACAAAGGACAGTGTATAGAGGAATTGCCTTCAAATAATGAGTTAGCAGTAAATCTTAACCCTATAAACATTGTAAAAAATTTTCTATCAGAAAGTGTTTTAGAAATTCCTGGGAAACAAGTTCAAACATCTGATCTACAAATTTCAGAAACTCTAACTTTGAAAAACGTTGAAAATGCACTGTTATTGAAGAGGAAAAGAAACAATCTTAGAAAAGTCTTAAATGAATCGAAAATGACCAACGAAAAAGAAATAAATAAAGAAAAAGAAATTGATAGTACATCAATAGACACAAATCTAGATGAGAAAGAGGACAAACAATGTAGCGATTATAGTGAAACTTCGAAATCCTTTACGTCTTCATTAAAACTTGATCAGGATGAAAATGGAACTAAAATTATAGGCGACATTCAGAACCCTATAGGTACCTGCAAGAAACCATGTGCTCAAATAAACCAAATTAAAAAAAGCCAAGTGCTTCAAGAGGTACCTGTTTCTATGCCTACAGAAATTCAGAAAGAGGCCGAAGAAAATGAAATCGAACCTGCACAAGATAATCTTTCGGAAATATCTAATATGCCAATTGAACACAACAAAAAAATTCTGCAGGGAGATTTGATTTGTTTCTCTACAAACAACCAAGGAGGGAAAATAAATGCAATTGGAAATAGACAAGATAACAAAGTACCCCTAAAAGGTACACAGATGATCCTTACTAAAGTGCAGTCAAAAGTACTTGCAAGTACTGAAAATGAACACTTGGAAGTCAAGAGAAGACAGTCAAGTGTAACTAAAAATTTTGTTTATCCTGTTATAACTTCTGTGCAAACGCTTGATGAACAAGAAACTAGGACAGTCGAAAAAGAAAGATCTTACAATCTGATTGAACACGACTATTGCGCCCCATTTGGGTCAGTCACCCGACGTAGAAAAAAGCGATCTATAAAAAAGCGTTTACACAAATTTTCAGACAATGGTGCTCAGAACAATATGCAATTAGAAGAACCTTTGTCCGATAGCGTACCATCTGTTACCGTTTTACCAATTATAACTTCAGTAGTGTCTATTACTGAAGACGCATTCGCCAAAGAAATTGATAATCAGGAAAAAAATATGTACCGATGCAACAGTGAAGGCTATATTGACCAAAATACTCAAGATTATAGTTGTGATGATATTGGCCAAAGGAATGGCTTTGCGCATAGTGCAGGATTTGAAAAAGAATTGGAAGAAAGAAATGAGGTTCGAATATGGTCAGATAAACATTATGATGCTGCTACATTGTGTTTAGTTACGTCTAATGAAGAAACTGTGTGTACGGATATTAATGCAATAGATACTGCAGCTACGTTATCTGTAGTTATGTTTAATAAAGAAACTGTGAATACAGATAATGCAATGGATGTTGCAGCTACATCTGTAGCTATGTCTGATGAAGAAACTCTATCTATAGACTCAATGTCTTATGAACAAGATTTCTATGAGAATGATACTTTCTCGTTTATTGACGAGGTATGTATTATTTATTGTACCATAATAATACACTTTTTTATTATATTAAGTGACAGGACGAACAAGTTGTGCGCCTGGTGTTCAGTGATACGCTTACCCATAACAGTTACAGTGCCACTCAGAGCTTTAAATCGCAAAGACCTGAGGGGCACTGAATTGCACTCGGTCACTCTTGAGACATAAAGTCAAGATGTCCAGTGTGACTGTTCACTCCACAAAACCGAAATGCAGTAACGCTCACTTTCCTATTTGGTGACAGAAATAATCAACCAGGTTGCAGATGTTATTAAACATGATATATGTATCTATCGTATAGACAAAAACGAAAATAGTGATGTACTGGCCGGGAAGACTGTAAACCGTGGATGTTTGCACCGCTAAGGCGAATCTTTTAATTGAAATAGTAAATGTAAACGTTAAGCGAGCATGCAGAAACACAATAAATCCTTAAGACTCATCTAAACACGCGCAGTTAGTGATGTCACAGCTAATATAAGAAACGTTTCTATTCGATTTAACGATGTCGTGACGGCTGCTGAGCCTTTGGTCCCGGTTCGGTATCTTGGAACCAATTGGTTCAGTTCTGGATAGTGCCCTAGATAGAACAAGTAATTCTAGCTTGAGACATGGGACTTGGACCATTGAAGTGAACAACAAGATGGCTGGTCAAAGACTAATTAAACATGTTTGGTTATAGAATTCGTCAACTTGCAATGAAAAACGGACAAATGGAAATATTGAAATTAAAGTCGAAAGACTATCAGATCAAGAAATAGAGGAAATGTTTCATTTCCCAGACGAGGAAAATGATTCCTCATTTAGGAGCGGGTCTGGAAATACATCGTCGGTACAACCATCAGTCTGTGGATCTTCGTTGCAAAGAAAATATATTGGAAAGTTAAAAAGATTTGGTGTCAGAAGAAATGTAAACTCTCCTACGGCGGAGGAGAATGGAGAATCTTCGGATGAAGACGAAGAACGTCGATGTCGTGCTTGGCGAAATTCAATTTTGCTCGTTTGTGACAGGTGAGTTTTCACATTCATTTACTGTATTGGTTTCTGTGTGGTCCGAAAGTGGTAAGGATATGTAGTTTACATAGTGATTCAAGGGATCTAGGAAACTACATAGTGATTCAAAAGATGAATAGGAGGGTTTTTGGCGTGTGATAGATTGCAGATTGATTTCTCTAGTCGGTCTGACACTGTTGCAACTGTGCGCAATATTGCAACTGTGTACAGTCATATACACAATATACCTGACCCCCCAAGCCGATTTTGTCGACCTTTTGGTTCTGAGCACAAAAATGTGGAGAAAATTGTTAAACAAACTTAAGGTTCGTATTCCAGAACTCTACTCAATGCTCAAGTCAGGATTTGAGTAGACTTGAGTATGATTTCAAGCACTGGAAATATGACTTGAGTATGATTTCTAGTGCTTTGAATCATACTCAAGTCCTGACTTGAGCATTGAGTAGAGTTCTAGAATATGACCCTATGTCTTTAACTTGTGAACCGTAAAATTTACGTATTACGTTAGTGAATGACATTGTAAGAAAGTTTTTAAGCCAATTTGATCTTTAACGTATAGTTCTTACTTAAATACAGAATACAAATCTCAATCAGCTATAGAAAAGTCGTCGTGGCCTAGCGGTTTATTGATTGCTTTGCAAGTTAAGGCAAGCATGGTTCGAGTCACTTTAAAAATAGAATATTATTTGGCTATGACATTTTTTGTTTTTAACTTCTGCTTATGTGTAAGAATGTGTAAGTCTTGTTCATATAAAACAATAATTTCTATTATTAAAACACGAAAGAAAACTTTGAAAGTAATTAAAACTGAATAGATAAATGGGAACGAAACGCGGAACAATGCGTAATCACAGAAGACACGATTGTATGCATATTACAGAGCGATTTCGTGATTTGTTAATCTATCCATACCCACCCTTCGCTTTATTAATAATATCTACCCACCCACCTTAGGCAATTTCTGGTGAACAAATATTGTGATTTGTCAACGTTAACATTGAAAAGCGAAACAATGCTGTTAAAAATATAACGTTAAAACAAAATAATGCTCGTGGAGTTGAACCACAGATATTGTAACTGGCAGTCCATACAATAAGCCGTTCGACCAATGTACTTGGATGTTAAGTGACGAAATTTAGTATTGCTTTTAAAAATAAGTTGATCATCTTCAAGCAACACTCCACTGTATTGCTTATACGATAAAGTTGAAATGGCTTTAATTTTTTCTTCGTTCAACACGTAAGATGTCTCTCAGAACCAAAAGGTCGGTTTGGGTATGTTAGGGGGTCACTTATCTCATGTACTTGGTACTTGGTGCAACGGGCTGGTATCCGCAACTCGACGACAAAGCGCCTATTTTGCGTGTGATGGATGCCGGGTCCTACTCGTGCCACCCAAGCTCCTCCAGGAATCTCAGCAGCCTCTTGGTTTGCTGAAGACTTCGGGGAGCGACCTTGGCACTCCAAGGTACTTTGCCCTGTAGTTGGCCACGCCGGAGCACTGAAGTAGGATGTGCGCAGCCGTTCCCTCCCCCTCCATGCACGCTCTGCATAGAGGGGTGATACCTAAATTGAAAAGGTGTTTATTGTATGGACCATGACCCGTTAGGGCGGCAGTTAGAGTGCGAAGCTCTTGCCTTTTAAGTTTAATTAGTATTCGATATAGACTGGCATTGAGCGTTGGGAGTGGTTCCCTCGCCTGTCTACAAACCGTAAGGGTGGTCCATGTATTATTATGTGAAGATTTTGTACCTTTGTGTATAGTTGTTCTGGACCATTGGCAGGGGAGGGACACTATCGGTTCTGGTCCTACAGCGTCCGTCTCCGACCCTTTCCTGGCTAGTTCATCTGCTGCGTCATTGCCACGTGAGCCGCTGTGTCTTTTAACCCACTGTAGAGTTACGTGGTTTTGTATACATACCTCCATGAGTGCTTGATGGCATTCGTAAATGAGCCCTGAGTTTATGTCATAGCTATTCAGTGCTTGAAGTACTGACATACTGTCGGAGAGTATTCGAATGGAGTAGTTCTTTACTCTTCTCGCTATGATTGCTTCTGCCGCCAACATGATGCCCATGCATTCAGCCTGGAATACTGTGTTGTGGTCACCAACCGGTGCTGATATCCTGATATTGAGGTCTTCTGAGAATACCCCAGTACCTGTTCCTGAGTTTGTTTTAGATCCATCAGTGAAGACTCGGACCTCTCTGGGGTTCAGTCCTTCGTTGGGATCTTCAAACAATTGTATCTTGTATTTTTTGTCAAAGATGTATTGTTTTGGGATCCTATCCACAACCGCCTCCAGTAGCGGTTCCTCATTGACAGTCTTGTAAAGGATTTCTGTATGTGGGGTCCTCATGTGCTTCCAAAGGCCGGCTCTGTTTAGACGCACTGCTGTTGACGCCGCTTCCTGTCTGATGAACAGTGGGAGGGGTCGAAGGTCCAGCATCGCTTCGAGGGCCGCAGTTGGAGTTGTCCTCATGCAGCCGGTCGTCGCCATGCAAGCGAGTCTTTGGCATTTGTCCAGCTTGTCGGTTGCGGTCGCCAGCTTTTTTTCGTGGCCACCATCGCGCCGTAACTGATCATGGGTCTTATCACCGCAGTGTAGAGCCATAGTGTTATCTTGGGTGAAAGTCCCCATTGTTTACCCACCATTCTATGGCACTGCCAAAAGGTGATAGTAGCTTTTTTAATCTTGTTGTCCAGATGTTTGTTCCAGTTCAACTTGTTGTCCAGTATTACTCCCAAGTACTTAACTTCGGTTGATATCTGTAGTTCTGTGCTGAAGAGTTTGGGTAGTCGGTAGTTACCTAGTAGTCGTTTGTTTGTAAACATTACTAGTTCCGTCTTTGTTGGGTTTACCGATAGTTCATATGCTCTGCACCATCTTTCCACAATTCGGAGAGCAGCTTCTGTAATGTCGCAGAGTGTATTGGCATAGTTTCCTGTTACCAGTATAGCTATGTCATCAGCATATCCTACTGTATAGAAATGTTCTTTGTTGAGGTTAATGATAAGGTCATTTACGACCATGTTCCACAGCAGAGGCGAGAATACCCCTCCTTGAGGGCACCCCTTCGCTACTATGGCCCGTGAGACCTTCATTTGCTGTTGTTTGTATTGTTCTTTGTTTCAGCATGTTGCTAATCCAGCTAATTAGCACTTCATCTACTTCGTGTCTTCTCATTACTGATTGTATGCTGGAGAAGTTGGTTTTATCGAAGGCTCCTTCAATATCTATAAAGGTGCCTAGGCAGATTGCTTTGTCTTTAAGGGCCACTTCTATCTTGCCCACAACGGCATGTAGGGCCGATTCAGTGGATTTGCCTTCGCTGTATGCATGTTGGTTACCGTGTAATGGTATGTTCTTAAGCGCTCCGTCCCTCAGTTCTCTGTCACATAGCCTTTCTAATGTCTTCAAGAAGAACGATGTGAGGCTGATTGATCTGAAGGACTTCGCGTCAGCGTAGTCAGGTTTTCCTGGATTCGGTATAAATATGACTTTTACCTCTCGCCAGCTGTGGGGCACATAGCTGAATGCTAGACAGGCCCGAAAGATGTTGACCAGGTGCTGGACCAGTGTATCCCCGCCACATTGTAGGAGTGCAGGGAATACTCCATCTTGGCCCGGAGCTTTGTACGGTTCAAAGGTGTTTACTGCCCATTTTGTCTTTTCGTATGTCACTACTTGTTCAGCGTATCGCCAGTTATGTATCGATGTGATGTAGTTCATTTCTACGCACCTGTCGTCTTGGATGAACCTACATCCTGGGAATTGTACTTCCAGTAGGGTTCTTTCCGTTTCCGTAGCGGAAGTTGTGTATGTGTTGTCTATTTTGCGTATTGAACCTAGCTCAGTTGAATTTGAGTTGCCTAGGATTTTCCTTATTCTGTTTGCTTGTGCACAAGACGTGATGTTCCCGCAGTAGCCTCGCCATGACGCGGTGCTCCTGAACCGTATGCGCTTTTTTAGTTTGGATTTGGCCGTCTTGAGTTTTCCCAGTCCTCATCCGCACATGTGTTCATTGCTCTATTGAAGTGTCTCCTTACCCTTCTTCGTAGCCTCTCAAGCTCAGGCCCCCACCAGTGTTGGCCTTGTCGCGGGGCTGCGTCACTCAGCGGGCATGCGGAGTTATAGCTGTTCAATATGTTTGATGTTAGTTCTTTAACCTGTGTTTCTATCTGTGCTGTGTCCAGCAGTCTTCCCGGTGCTGCCGGTTCTCTCAGGTTCTGGTGTAGTTTGTCCGTGTACAGTTTACGATCGGTTTTTCTGGGATTCCGTTTCGGTTGTTGTCCTTTAATGGCTGTTTCTAAGCTGAATCTTATCCATCTGTGGTCCGAGAAAGATGCTTGTTCGGACACGTGCCAGTTGTGGATAAGGTCCACTGCTCCTTCTGACGCTAGGGTTAGGTCTATAATAGTTCTACATCTTTTATTTATAAAAGTTGGTACTATACCTTTATTAAGGATTTGAAGGTTTGTTGTGTGTATCTCATGTATATGACTGTACTTTAACTATGTAGCAGTAGAGCTCCTTCTGAAAGTGTTCGTCCAGGGAAGTACTGCCACCTTACCTATTTCTGCCGCCAAGCAGTAATGTCAGCATTACTGTGTTCCGGTTGTGAAGGGTAAGGGTGCTGGTGAAATTACAGGCACATGGGACTTGTCAACTTATATGTCAGGGTGACGGGCGCAGTAGCAGTGCTCCTCAGATCTTTGCGATTTAGACCTCTGAGTGGCACTGCAACTGTTATGGACAGGCGTGTAGCTTACCATCAGGCGCACGACTTGTACGTCCCGTCACTTGATATTATAAAAAAAATGTAGAACTATTTTTATGAGGTACTTTCTGGAGCATCATCATTCTATTTAAGAGCCAGGCTTTTGTCGATATAGTCTTTTATTCCTCGCGGTTTAAAGCCAGTTCCTTGACCTCTTTATAGCTGCACAGTTTGACGTACTTCTTTGCTTGTTCACTATACGCCATTCTAGTCGTCGTTCCTTTCTTTTTCCTGCTATTTATTATTTTCCCTTGGGTTATAATTTCCTGGAGTAGCGTTTTTTAAACCTATCCGTGGAACCCCGGGTAAGTAAACCTTGGATGTCTGTTGAGGTCCGCGGACTCAATAAAATAATAAAATTAAAATGCACCTGCTTTTTTTACAATGGTTTCGTATGAAGAGGACATGGGGAAATTTTGGTTACGAAAAGATCCGCGGCATTTGCCAATGAGTTGCAGTAACATTGTGGTTAAGTTAATAACATCACAACTATTAGGTTATTCAACGTAAGGAGTGTCTGTACTGTACTGAGCTAGCCAGTCATTCAATATGTAATACTGTGACGATGTGATCCCCTTCCATCGTTATCCCACCTTTTTATCACCCTTTCTCTGGTTCCGGGCCACTTGTTTTAAAATTTTGAATCGTTTTTTAATTCCTTTGTCTCGCCATTCTCATTGTGTTTCGTTCCGTCGTCACTCTCTCTCTCTCAGCTCAATCGCTGTAGCCAGCAGTCCTGCTCGTCTAATTTAGATCCTTTTACCAGTTCCCAACCTAAATAATGAGCCAATTTTAATACCAATCTAACCTAGCAATATTGATAACTCTGCCCTGTCGAGGTAAATCTTTCCCACGTTTTTTGGTACTTAATTATGTTGAAAATGTTTTGTAGCTTGTAAACCGCTAATGTGCCGACATTAGCGGTTTACAACCTTTTCAATACGAAACGATTGTTTAATTTTATTATCTCTGGTTTCGACATCTTCCGCATCCTTTAGATAAATCGTATTAAGAATATAACTTTGTACACGCAAAATAGGCGCTTTGTCGTCGAGTTGCGGATACCAGCCCGTTGCACCAAGTACCAAGTACCAATAACTTTGTACTATGCGACGACAACATTATGCGTTTAGCCGACATTGATGACCTTATTACTGTGTTTTATCACGCAAGATCAATGATTTTTGGTGCTTGTAATTTGGCTTGGACTTACTTTTTGTATGAATTAGTTTCTAGTCTAAAGTTGTGTTTTCAGACTCCGCGCGCACCAATACGCTGCAGATTTTCTATATCCAGTTAAGGAGAGCAACGCACCGTTTTATTACAGCGTGGTTAAGCGCCCAATGGACTTGAGTACGATAAGAAAACGCATAAAGGATGGTCTCATTCGGTAATAATAATAATTACTTACATTTCAAAAGTCAAAGGAGAAATAAGAAGTTCAATTGGCTCTCGCGCCTTTCTGACCATAGCAGGATGACTATAGGCCTAAAGCATTTCCCTCTTGCGTTTCCCAGACTAGTTTCTGGCGAGAGGAAGCCTATATAGCGGTCAAATTATATAAAATCATATTCTAGTATCTGCTATCTTCTTTTAGAACAACGGCTGACTTCGAACGAGATCTCCTTTTGATGATATCCAACGCAATAATGTATAACGACCGTGATTACTTGGTGCATTTTATTGCTAAAGAGTTCTTGAAAGAGGTGAGTGTTTCTTATAAAAAGGCGTAATAGATGGAAGCAGTGTAATGAATAGTGATCGGAATTGAGGTGTTAATTTACTTAAAGTTCGAACGTTTTCTTAATATGGATATACCCATTTCGGGATATGACAAAAAGTCCCGGGATTAATATTACGATATCATCAATGCATATAAAATTTAGATGACAAATAAAATTCCAGTTTCATTAAAATGTATGTAAGATATAAGATTTAAAATTAAAATATAAATGTTAACAATTAATTAATTTATTATTTATTTATTTAATCAATTAATTTTAACAATTTTCATTATGTATTCATTATAATAATTACAATATCTATTACATACTGGCTTACTAAAGTAATCGTTCTCTCGAAATTAGAAATATGTCTAAAATTGGTGGAATAACTAAAATAACTAAAAAAAAAATTCAGGACTTCTAGACCCTGAGAATATGTGTTTGAATATAAAATTAACATTGTTGAGCAGTTTTAGCAGTTGCTGATATGTTAAAAAACAAAATTTCATACAATCATTATTATTTGTTTTTTGTTAGATTTGTCTTATTTAATGTTTTTTTTTCTTATATCTTTTTATATTGTTTATTAATTAATTATTATTTCTTTAATTTTGTTTTCCTTGTTTGTGTTATCATTTTTTTTTGTATCTATGTTGTGGCGTTGCAATAAATGTCTATTCTATTCTGTTCTATTCTATTCAATAGAAACCGCTGATATTTGATAACAACAATGGTTTCTATTGTTTGACTTATCTTGTTTTCGTACTGTGTGAAAGAAATAGCCGTTACTGCTTTCTGTTCCGTGTGAAAGAGAAAGCAGTTACTTTTTTATGCAGCGAATATACGTGCAAATCACTCTTGTAAAATCTTTTGCTAAGTAAGTTGCACCTATAGAAATACACCTATAATATATTTTTTTTGAGACAATAATTAAAATAAAATTTTTATTGCCTATTCTCCAGCTCAATCAGTTCAAACAAGTTTAGAAGGGAAGAATCAGTTCCGACAAGTTTAGAAGTGTAGAAGGGAATGTCCACATTATTCTTTACTTGAATTTTAGGTTATATAATCTCTCGATTCCGATTACTGGTAATAAAATAAGAGACAGTATGTTATAATTATTAATACAAAGATCGAACACTCGATTCGAACAATCGGACAAAAATTCAGAATGAAAGAATCCGGCCGGATATAAGGAATTTTTAAAAAAAATAATTGAATATTTATTCAATAAAAATTTAAGAGACAATAGTTTCCTATTCTGCTGATCTCTCCGTAGATGTAACAGGTGGGATGTGGAAATTAAAAAAAAATCTTATAATAATGGGGCTTATAGAGAACGCAGGGCCTTTTTTATAACAACAGGATTTTTTGTCGCTTTCTTTATAATTTCTTTGATTTTCTCGGTTAGTTAATAAAAATCAACCTTGCCGCTGTAATACGGTTATCCCTTTGTGGGCAGTAAAACACCATTGTAAATTTAAGACGGCGTACTAATGGTATAATTTTGGAACTAGAACTAGTGGTTCTGGAGGTATAGGACAGGTTCTGCCGGATTTAGATTATCCCAGGGTGACAGTTAATCATGTTTGTTACTTTAAATCACCGGACTGATTAATTCTACCTTTTTTGCGGCTAGAATCGATTAAATCATGACTTTTTAATCGACTAGAAAAATTTTAAATACTCGGTTGGGTCATTCTGGATTGAGACGCGCAAATTTGTTCTGCGACATCCGGTGCTTAAGGAATTCTGTGCTTTCGATAATACAATTAATTTTTTTTGCAGATTACTTACGAACTCCACGTGTTAAAGACGATAAATGAGAAAAGTTCATTGTTGGATTCTATTAACAAACGTAAACAAGTATTATCTTCCAAACTATCTTCTGCATCTACTACGTCTACTGCTACCACAGCTGAATCAAAAACATCTACTAAAGCAACGAGCAAAGTTGGTACTTCAACAAAATGTAAACGAAACGTTCCCCCTAAAAAAGCAATTGTTTCTGAAAGTAAAAAGAACAAATTAACGACGTGCACAAACGATCAGGTTATAGCCGCTTTACAAGCTGCACCAATCCTGAAAGTCTTATTAAATAAAATACCTGACAAGGATTTACCTACTAACATTTCAACTACTCAGAAAAATAATGAAGATAAGAAATGTAGGCACTCATTTCTTAAAAGTATACTTGAAGATCAACCGTTACTGGAACCCATAATAAAACGACGCCGTAAATCTATTTATACAACATGTAATAATATAAACGAACATACAAGCGAAATCAATAAACCTCTAGATTACAGTAAAAATGCCATGGATGAAGTTAGTAATAGTGGGGATAGTGACACAAATAGTGAAGAAAGATTTATATTAAATGACGAAGAGCCTATGACTAAAAATATTAGTATTTCAGAAATACTTGAAACTATTATTGGTGTAAACAGTGATCAGATACGTGTAGATTTTTACAATGAAGATAGTGAAAATGGTATTATTTTAGGAACTGGAGATATAATCGATCTAGGAAATGCTGCAGACATTACAAGTGTACATATTAAAACTAAAATTACTACGACAGCTGCTGTTGAAGATCTGGATGGAGATAATGTATTTCTCGAAATGAAAGAAGACAACAATATTGTAACCACTGAAACCAAACCTAAAACTATGAACGCAAATGCTGAAATTGATTGGTCCCTCGAAAATAATCAAACGTTAAATACGGTTCAAGAATGTGCAATGCAATCTAATGGTGATGAAAATGACACAGAAACTGATTCAACTTCATCGTTGGTTTTAGATAACTGTAGTACAAACATTGAAGTAACAACTTTCAAAGATGCAGATTTAAGAAACAAATTTAAAAGTCTGGCAAATAATCACGTTGACTTGGAAAATCCAGAAGAATGCTTGGTAAAAAATAAAAACATTAAAGATACACTGTTAGAGCTTTCATGCGAGAATGAAACTGTACAGGAAGTACTAAGTAACCAAATAGCTTCTGAAGATTGTATAGAACACAATATTATTGATGAAGTTTTGGTAAACACTTTGGTAAACACAAGTGCTGTTGAGTTTTCTGATGTCACTGTCAAACACACATTTATGATGAACAATAAATCCAACAATACCCCCAGGCAATCAGAAAGTACTTCAAATGCTAACAAAGATGAGACACTGATCGAGCAGTATGTAGAGGATAAAGGGATACCTTGGTCAATTGTAGATACGATAGAAAATAATGAATTTAACGAATACCATGCTCCATTTCAGCAATATGTTGAAGACGCTAAGCTCAAGTCCAAAAATACGCCCATGCATTCAGGTAATATTTTAAATTCAGATATGAGTGTACCGCTAGAAGAGCAGCATGCAGCAGACAGAGTGATACCTTGTTCAGTTGAAGATAGGATAGAAAATAATGAATTTAACAATTACCATACACCAACCACACAATGTATTGTAGATACTAAACCTAAATCTCAAAATACGCCCATGCGTTCAGGAAATATTTCAAATTCAGACAAGAGTGTAACACTAAAGGAGCAGCATGCAGCAGACACAGGGACACCTTGTTCAATTGATAATAGGATAGAAAATAATGAATGTAACAAACACCATGCACCAGACAAACAATGTATTGAAGACAGTAAACCTAATTGTAAAAATACGCCCATGCAATTAGAAAATATTTCTAGCTCAGGCAAAGGTGTAACAATAAAAGAGCAGCATTCGGGATTTAAAGAGATACCTTGTTCGTTTGAAGATAGAATAGAAAATAATGAGTTTAACATGCACCATACACCCACCACACAATGTATTGAAGATGCTAAACCTAAATCTCAAAATACGCCCATGCATTCAGAAAATAGTTCAAATTCAGACAAGAGTGTAACAGTAAAAGGGCAGCAAGCAGCAGACAGAGGGATACCTTGTTCAATTGAAGATAGGATAGAAAATAATGAATGTAACAAACACCATGCACCAGACAAACAATGTATTGAAGACAGTAAACCTAACTTTAAAAATACGCCCATGCAATTAGCAAGTATTTCAAGCTCAGACAAAGGTGTAACACTAAAAAAGCTGCATGCGGGAGATAAAGGGATAGCTTGTTCAATTGAAGATAGAATAGAAAATAATGATTTTAACGTACACCATGCACCTACCACACAATGTTTTATAGATATTAAACCTACATCTCAAAATACGCCCATGCATTCAGAAAATATTTCGAATTCAGACAAGAGTGTACCACTAAGAGAGCAGCATGCAGCAGATAAAGGAACACTTTGTTCAGTTAAAGACAGGATAGAAAATGATGAGTTTGACAAACACCATGCACCACCTAAGCAATGTGTTGAAGACACTAAACCTAAACCTAAAAATACGCCTATGCAATCAGAAAATATTTTAAATGCAGACAAGGGTGTAACACTAAAAGACCAGCATGTAGGCGGTAAAGGGACGCCTTGTTCAATTGAAGATAGAATAGAGAATAAGGAGTTTAACTTATACCATGCACTAACCACGCAATGTATTGTAGATACTAAACCTAAATCTAAAAATACGCGGATGCATACAGAAAATATTGTAAATACAGACATAGTTTTAACACTAAAAGTGCAGCATACAGCAGACAGAGGAACACTTTGTTCGGTTGAAGATAGGACAGAAAATAATAAGCTTGACAAACACCATGCAACATCCAAGCAATGTGTTGATGACATTAAACCTAAATCTAAAAATACGCCTATCCAATCACAAAATGTTTTAAGTGCAGACAAGGCTGTAACACTAAAAGACCAGCATGGAGGCGGTAAAGGGACGCCTTGTTCAATTGAAAATAAAATAGAAAATAATGAGTTTAACGTACACCATGCACTAACCACACAATGTATTGAAGATAGTAAACCTAAATCTGAAAATACGCCCATGCATGCAGAAAATATTTCAAATTCAGACAAAAGTGTAACAGTAAAAGAGCAACATGCAGCAGCCATAGGGACACCTTGTTCAATTGATGATAGGATAGAAAATAATGAATTTAATAAACACCATGCATCAGACAAACAATGTATTGAAGACGGTAAACCTAATTCTCAAAATACGCCCATGCAATTAGAAAATATTACAGGCTCAGACAAAGATGTAACACTAAAAGAGCTGTATGCGGGATTTAATGGGATACCTTGTTCATTTGAAGATAGAACAGAAAATAATGAGTTTAACGTACACCATACACCCATCACACAATGTATTGAAGATACTAAACCTAAATCTCAAAATACGCCCATGCATTCAAAAAATATTGAGTTAGACAAACACCATGCACTTTCCAAGCAATATAAAAATACGCCTATGCAATCAGAAAATATTTTAAGTCCAGACAAGGGTGTAACATTAAAAGACCAGCATGTAGGCGGCAAATGGAAGCCTTGTTCGATTGAAGATAGAATAGAAAATAAAGAGTTTAACGTATACCATGCACCAACCATACAATGTATTGTAGATACTAAACCTAAATCTACAAATACGTCCATGCAAACAGAAAATATTTCAAATGCAGACAAAGTTGTAACACTAAAACAGCAGCATGCGGATGAGAAAGGGACACCTTGTTCTATTGAAGATAGAATAGTAAATAATGAGCTTGACAAACACCATGCACCATCCAAGCAATGTGTTGAAGACACTAAACCTAGATCTAAAAATGCACTCATTCATCAAGAAAATATTTTAAGTTCTGACAAGGGTGTAACACTAAAAGAGCAGCATGTAGGGGGTAAAGGGACGCCTAGTTCAATTGAAGATAGAATAGAAAATAATGAGTTCACCGTACACCATGCACCATCCAAGCAATGTGTTGAAGACACAAAACCTAACTTTGAAAATACGCCCATCCAATTAGAAAATATTTCAAGCTCAGACAAAGGTGTAAAACTTAAAGAGCAGCATGCGGGAGATAAAGGGATACATTGTTCAGTTGAAGATAGAATAGAAAGTAATAAGTTTAACGTATACCTTACACCAGCCACACAATGTGTTGAAGACACTAAACCTGCATCTAAAAATACGCTCATGCAATCAGACAATGTTTCAAATTCAGACGAAGGTGTAACGCTAAATGAGCAGCATGCGGATGACAAAGGGACACCTTGTTCAGTTGAAGATAGAATAGATAATAATGAGCTTGACAAACACCATGCGCCATCCAAGCAATGTGTTGAAGATACTAAACCTAAATCTAAAAATACGCCCATGCAATTAGAAAATATTTCAAGCTCAGACAAAGGTGTAACACTAAAAGAGCAGCATGCGGGAGATAAAGGGATACCTTGTTCAGTTGAAGATAGAATAGAAAATAATAAGATTAACGTATACCATATACCAACCACACAATGTGTTGAAGACACTAAACCTAGGTCTAAAAATACGCTCATCCAATCAGATAATATTTCAAATTCAGGCGAAGGTGTAACATTAAAAGAGCAGCATGCAGTAGACAAAGAGTCACCTTGTTCAATTGAAGGTAGGATAGAAAATAATGAATTTAACAAATACGCTCCATCAATGCAATGTGTTGATGATACTAAGTCTAAAAATACGCCCATGCATTCAGAAAATATTTCGGACAAGAGTGTAACACTAAAAGAGCAGCATGCAGCAGACAGAGCGACACCTACTTCAGTTGAAGATAGGATAGAAAATAATAAGTTCAATGTACACCATACACCAACTACACTATGTATTGAAGACATTAAACCTAGATCTAAAACTACGCTCATGCAATTAGATAATATTTCAAATTCAGACGAAGGTATAACGCTAACAGAGCAGCATGCGGATGACAAAGGGACACCTTGTTCAGTTGAAGACAGAACAGATAATAATGAGCTTGACAAACAGCATGCACCATCCAAGCAATGTGTTGAAGACACTAAACCTAAAACTAAAATTACGACCATGCAATTAGAAAATATTTCAAGCTCAGACAAAGGTGTAACACTAAAAGAGCTACATGTGGGAGATAAAGGGATACCTTGGTCAGTTGAAGATAGAATAGAAAATAATAATATTAATGTGCACCATACACCAACCGCACAATGTGTTGAAGACACTAAACCTAGATCTAAAAATACGCTCATGCAATCAGATAATATTTCAAATTCAGACGAAGGTGTAACATTAAAAGAGCAGCATGCAGTAGACAAAGAGTCACCTTCTTCTATTGAAGGTAGGATAGAAAATAATGAATTTAACAAATACGCTCCATCAATGCAATGTGTTGAAGATACTAAACCTAAGTCTAAAAATACGCTGTTGCATTCAGAAAATATTTCGAATTCAGACAAGAGTGTAACACTAAAAGCGCAGCATGCAGCAGACAGAGGGACACCTACTTCAGTTGAAGATACGATAGAAAATAATAAGTTCAATGTACACCATACACCAACCACACAATTTATTGAAGACACTAAACCTAGATCTAAAATTACGCTCATGCAATTAGATAATATTTCAAATTCAGACGAAGGTGTAACATTAAAAGAGCAGCATGCAGTAGATAAAGAGTCACCTTGTTATATTGAAGGTAGGATAGAAAATAATGAATTTAACAAGTACGCTCCATCAATGCAATGTGTTGAAGATACTAAACCTAACCCCAAAAATACGCCCTTGCATTCAGAAAATATTTCGAATTCAGACAAGAGTGTAACACTAAAAGAGCAGCATGCAGGAGACAAAAGGACACCTTGTTCAGTTGAAAAAAGAATAGAAAATAATGAATTTGACAAACACCACTCACCAACCACACACTGTAACGAAGATACCAAACCTAAAAACACACTCATTGAATCAAAAAATATTTCAACTTCAGACAAGGATCTAACTCTGAAAGAGCAGCATGCAGGAGATAAAGGGACACCTTGTTTAATTGAAGGTAGAATAGGATATAATGAATTTAAGAAACGCTGTGCACCATCCAAGCAATGTGTTGCAGGCACAAAACGTAAATCTAAACGTATCCTCATGCAATCAAAAAATATTTCTAATGCATACAAAGGCCTAACTCTGAAAGAGCAGCATGCAGTAAACAAAGTGACACGTCGGTCAGTCGAAGATAGATTTGAAAATAATGAATGTAATAAACACTATGCACCAACCAAACCACATGTTAAAGACACTAAACGTAAATATAAAAATACGCCAATCAAATCAGGAAGTAATTCAACATCACACAAAGTTGTGACACTAAAAGAGCGGCATGTAGGGGATAAAGAGACATCAACCAAGCAAAGTGTTGCAAACACTAAATTGTTGATTAATAAATTAGACTCATTTGAAGAGCCTTTGCAAATTAGTAACCTAGAGAATATAACCAAATCACAACTTAGTGACAAAACAGCCGATATGGCTTATACTGAAGGAACTGGAAATACCGATATATGTACTTCGGTACAAACTTATTATAGCAGTCTTGGAGTTGACAATAATGAAACTGCACAAAATCTAAGAAGCCAACATTGTAAAAGAAATGTTATAAATGAAAACGTTAACATTGCGAAAAATAACCAAGAAATAAATAAAAATAATGCCACCTTGACACATAAATATGCTACGATAAATACAAATAATATAGGTAATGAAGATAAAATAACCACTCTAGATATTTCTCAGAAGAACAGTGCGGTAATTCAACACTTCAATAACTCCGTTCATGTAGAGCAAGATCAACAAAACAGCAATTATAATCAAGAAACAACATCTACATCTGAATCACAATTAAGCCAATACTCAGTAAAACTTACTAAGGTCTTGCAACCAACCTCAGAGATTGTAGAAAAGACTATGACAAATTGGAACGACAAATTTATCATGACGCATACAAAAGCGACAGAAAATTTGACATTGCCATCTGTACACTTTGAAAACTCCAATCATAACGAGAAGTACTGTGAATTAAAAAGAAATACAGACATAGATGCAACACAACCGCTGGCATTTGATGTATTTAGTGATGTTTCAGTGGACAGTGACAATGAAGATTTAGGCCAAGATATTATTTTGGAGCAAGTTAACGCGGTGATTGCAAAATTAGACGAACAACTTATGATTTTAGAACGTGGCTGTCAAAATAAAGAAGAACAAAAATGTTACGATAAAGGCGCTTTTGGGAAACAAGATCGTGTATTAGACGATATGCCGTTACTTGAAATTGGAAATGACAAAAATGATAAAGCCGGTACACTAAACCCAAGTCAAATAAATGTTCTATCAACAAACATATGTCAAGATTTGGATAAAAATATTTATAGTAATGCTAATAATAAATTACCTAATAGGAAGAATATAGAAACGAAAAAGTTAGAAAGTGAAGCTTTTGACAGTGAGATGCTAAAAAATAAAATGTCTAAAGACAAGGAAAAAAGAAAACCTAAGAAAAGGTTAAATAACGAATCTACGTTAAAGCGGACAAAACGCCGTAAAATTGACACAAAAGGGGACCTAATAATTGAGAAAAGATTAAATAACGAATCTACGCTAAAGCGGACAAAACGCCGTAAAATTGACACAAACGGGGACCTAATAATTGAGAAAAGGTTAAATAACGAACCTACGCTAAAGCGGACTAAACGCCGCAAAATTGACACAAACGGGGAACAAATAAATGACACGAAGAACGACAAAGAAAAACGCATTAAAGTCGATAATAAGGACTGTATTGTTGACTTAACAGTGCAAGCGAAAGTAACCAATAAAGAATCATCGTTATTAGAATCGACAAATATATCGAAGAAAGCAGAAAAGTACAAAAATGAAATGCAGCTTTGTAAAACGATTAAGAAAAAGACGTTAAATTACAAAAGTCTGCTTGGTAACAAGGTCTTGAGAATAGTTTTAAAACGTTTACCAGAACCATTATGAAAAAATTTTGTACGAGGTATTGAAACATGGCCTACAGAAGATTCGAAAAAACGCTTTTACATATAAAGCCATAAAATATTTATCCATATTTAAAACTGCTTTAATATCGTTATTGTTTTGTAGAAAGAGTGTAAGCGACATTTTGAACAATGTTTCAGGGGTGAATGTCTACATTTTACAAATATAAGTTATAGGTTTTCGCGGCTGTTTTAAAATATGTACGTCCTGTTTTAAAATTCCATTTTAGCTTTAATGAAGTTTTTAGTTTTAAAACACAATTTAAAACAGGAGAAAAATATTTTAAAACAATCGTGAAAACCTAAAACATATATTTACGAAATATATTTTTTGTTTTGGTTTTTGACGACTTTTTTGCCGTAGTGCCATCTGTGAGACATGTATTTCTTCACCCAACCAGGTACCTATACAGCTATCAGCGGGTGACAACAAATGTCGCTTTAATAATTGTAATTTTTAAGTTTTTATTGAATATCTCCCTCGACATTTTACTACAATGATATTCAATATTTTTTGTGAAATTA